GGTGTCAAACCGCATTAAGGCCTCAGTGTAGACGCACCCGATGTCAGACCCATATTGAACCGGATCTTTCTTTTTTCCTTCCTCCCCATCCAGGACTGGGTCTTCCTCACTCGCTTCTGCTTCCTCTCGGACTATGGGCGCCTCGACTTCCAGTTCCGCTATCCAGAGGTACGTCCCTTGTGCATTTCGGTTCTAGGCTGTGCATTGGGGTTCTAGAGGTTCCCAAAGCCCTTTTCCCAACTGGGGGCTGCCATATAGAAAACTGGGAAAGGGCTCCTGTGCCTTCCACATTTCCAGCATCAACCGGGGTGGCTTTGTGCATCTCCACTGTAAGAATGAATGCGGTTTTGCAACACTTTGTGGGCTCAGCGCTGCAGAGGTCCTGGGAGTTGTAGTTCTGGTAAGAGGCTTACCTGTGCTGTATAGACGGAATGCAGTTCCACAACACTAAGACTTTGGGAGCTGTACTTTCACTAAGAGCGCACCTCTGTTGTATAGAATTAATGCAGTTTAGCAACACTTTGCGGCTCAATGCAACAGAGTTGTAGTTTTATTAAGGGTGCATTTACCCTGTAGAATGGCCCAGTGCTATGGAAACCCTGGGAGTTGTAGTTTCACTAAGAGCACGCCTCCACTGCATAGAATGAATACGGTTTGGCAGCACTTTGCAACTCAACGCTATGGAGATCCTGGGAGTTGTAGTTCTACTAAGGTCATATCTCTACTATATGGAATGAATGAGGTTTGGCAACACTTACTTTGTGGCTCAATGCAATGGAGTTGTAGTTCTACTAAGGGTGCATCTACATTTTAGAATTAATGTGGTTTTGCAACACTTTGCGACTCCAACGCTATGGAGATCCTGGGAATTGTAGTTCTACTAAGGTCATATCTCTGCTATATGGAATGAATGAGGTTTGGCAACACTTACTTTGTGGCTCAATGCAATGGAGTTGTAGTTTTACTACAACTTTTACACTGTAGAATGGCCCAGTGCTATGGAAACCCTGGGAGTTGTAGTTCTACTAAGGGAGCATCTACACTTTTAGAATGAATGTGGTTTTGCAACACTTTGTGGCTCAAATGCTATGGCGGTCCTGGGAGTTGTAATTTCACTAAGGGCACACCTGCACATCTGTGGAATGAATGCAGTTTGACAACACTTTGCGACTCAAACACTATGGAGACCCTGTGAGTTGTAGTTTCACTAAGAGCACACCTATGCTGTATAGAATGAACGTGGCTTGGCAACACTTTGTGGGCTCAAGGCTATAGACATCCTGGGAGTTGTAGTTTGCACTCCATGACAGAGGAGACCCAAGGTGAACTACAACTCCCGGGATCTCCATAGCCTCGAGTCCTGGGCAGTTCAATTTCAGTCCTGTTTACTCCTTCCTTGTTTCTCTTTTTGCAGGCGAAATGTTGCCAGAACATCCTTCTCTATTTTGATGACCCTTCGCAATGGCCGGCCGTCTACAAGAAGGGCAATAAGGTCAGTTCGGGTCAAGGGGGCCGGTCAGTGTTCTCATCACAAATTGGAAACAGGTCCCATCATCCACAGATGATAATACTGCAGAAAAGAGTGGGATTAGCATAGGCAGGTGTAAGACTGTAGGATCTATGTAGCAATATTAAATAACCACTCACAAGCCGTTTTTGCTTTGAAATGGATCTATTGCTTGTATCTCTGCAGCAAAGGCAGACACTACTGACCTTTTCCCACCACCACTTCCTTTGATACACCTTTCCTGCCCATTTCCCCTTCTTCTCAGTTTCCTTATTAGAACTTGTTGCTTCACAAGTTCCAATACAAGGCTTCCAGAGCCCTCGGCTGGCTTCAAAATGTCACAGAGAGAGAATTGATTCAGCCAGGATGGTTCCGTCAGGATGTCACGGAGGGAATTTGTGATGTCTTCATGCCGTCAGAAATTGACTCCTGACAACAGGCAATACATAAAATTTATTATTATTATTATTATTATTATTATTATTATTATTATTATTATTTCCTTGACCTGGACACTATGTGCCTATTGATGCAGCCTAGGATCGCATTGGCTTTTTCCACTGCAGCGTCACACTCTTGGCTCATGTCCAGCTTGTGCCTATTGAAGATCCCTTTTGCATGCATTTTGTGCCCTGTCTACACTGTCAAATGATGCAACTCGAACTGGATTTGCTTTGCTTTGCGCATGGAGCATGGGGGTGTGAGTTCGAACCCATTCCATTGCTAGGCCAGGCACATGCTAATGAGAACCCAGGCAGGATCCCAGCTGGATTACACGGCAGAAGAAAGGCACCCAGCGGCTTCCCTTTCCATGCACATTATGCGCCTGTTTTGAAAGCCGCAGCTTCCTCGCTCCTAATCCATCGCTTCCCTTCGGCGCTGAGGAAATTGCCCAGTGCGCCAATGCTTTTGATCTCAAGCCGCCTTGGACAGAGGAAAGCCTGCAAAACCTTGGCTCTTCTCTAAATACCGTATTGATTTGAGTCTCATGCGTCATCGAATCTCATGCGCACCTCAATTTGCATACACACACACACACACACACACACACACAGAGCAACACTAGCTGTCCCCGGCCATGCATTGCTGTGACTCAGTCTGATTAAATGGAAAAGAAAGAAAAGAGAAAGAGCAATTTTCTAATATGAGTAATTTCATAATGCTTGTGGGTAAACAATATTTGTTGTCGTTCCATTGCCTGTTAAATAATAATAAGAAGGGTGCAAATAATAATAATAATACTGGCCTACATAAGCTATTTAATAATAATAATAATACTGCTGTATATAATAATTAGCTGTACCTGCCATGTGATGCTGTGGCCAACCTTCCCTCTTTCTCTCCTCCTTTCTTCTCTCCTCTCCTTTTTCTTTCTTTCTCTTCCTTCCTCTCTTCCTTCCTTTTCCCCTTTCCTTTCCTCCCTGCTTCCTTTTTTCCTTCTTCCCTTTTCTCTTTTTTTTCCCTTCCTTCCTTCCTTCCTCTTCCCTCCCTTCCCTTTTCTTCCCTCCTTCTTTCTTCCTTTTTCTCCTTCCCTTTTTTTCTTCTTTCTTTCTCCTTCCTTTCCTCCCTCCTCCCTCCTTCCTTCCTTCCTCTCTTCTCTTCCTTCTTCCCCTTTTCTTCCTCCTCTTTCCCTCCTTTTTTCCTTCCTTCTCTTTTTTCTTTCTTTCTCTTCTTCTTCCTTCTTCTTTCCTCTCCTTCTTCCCTCTTTCTTTCCTCCCTTCTTTCTCTTCCTTCCTTCCCTTTTCTTCTTTCTTTCTTTTCCTTCCTTCCTTCTTCCTTCCTTCCTTCTTCCTTCTCTTCCTCTTCTTCCTTCCTTCTTTCCTCCTCTTCTTCCTTTTTCCTTCCTTCCTTTTTCTTTCTTCTTTTTCTCTTCTTCCTTTCCTTCTTCCTCCTTTCCTCCTTCCTTCCTTCTCTCTCTTTCCTTCTCTTCTCTTCCCTTCCTCCCCCCTTTTTCTTCCTCCTCTTTCTCTTTTTTTTCCTTCCTTCCCTTTTTTTTCTTCTTTTTTCTCCTTCCTCCTTCCTTCCTCTTCTCTTCTCTTCCCTTCCTTCCCCTTTTCTTTCCCTCCCTCCTTCTCTCCTTTTTCCTTCTTCCTTTTTCTTTCTTCTTTCTCCTCCTTCCTTCTCTTCTCTTCCCTTCCTTCCCCCTTTTCTTTCCCTCCCTCCTTCTCTCCATTTTTTCCTTCCTTCCCTTTTTCTTTCCTTCCTTCCCTTCCTTCCTTCCTTCTCCTTCCTTCCCTTCCTTCCTTCCCTCTTTTTCTTTCCCTTCCTCTTTCTCCCCTTTCTTCCCTCTCTACCTAGTTTGCAGTCCAAGAACAGGTACAGAAGGAAGAATGGGGAAAAAGAGGAAGAGAAAGAAAAGGGGGGATGGAAGGGAAGAGAAGGAAGGAAGGAAGGAAGGAAGGAGAGAAGGAAAGGAAAAAAGGGAAGGAAGGAGAGAAAGAAAGGAGGAGAGAAAGAGGGAGGAAGGTTGGCCGCAGCAACTCGTGGCGGGTACAGCTAGTATTCTCTAAAATCACGAGGAAACCAGAGTTATATTGGTTGGGGATACTGGACAGTCAGCTAGAAAGAGAGAGACAAATAAAATAATGATGATACTACTTCAACAACAACAACAGCAACTACTACTACTAATGAAACCTTATCTTCCTCCCTTAGGATTGTCTGATGAAGGAGTCGGTCATCCGCCCAGAGAACAACCAGGTGATCAACCTGACCACGCAGTACGCCTGGTCCGGCTGCAAAGTAAGAGCCTTTCTCTCTCTTTCCACAATGAGACCTTGGCACCCTCCTCCCCTGGATCCCAAAGCACAGAACACACATACGGCAGACAAGACAGACAATTGTACGTAGATAGAGGTAGACGTAGGCTTTCCCATCTTTGGCATCTTGGAGGCTATCCTTGGTTCTGGCCACAGGGGGGTGCTGTGGCTCCACTTTTCCCTGCCAAAGAGCTTTGATCGTAAACTTCCTCCTTGATTGAATCGCCAGCATTTTTTTCTGAGTACCTTAAATACCTCCCAGTTAAGCGGTACCTAGTTATCTACTCACATTTCTGTTGTCAAAACTGCTAGGTAGGCAGAAGCTGGGCTAAAGCCCAGGAGCTCAGTTGGCAAGATTTACTGCAGCTGGCGGTTAACCTGCTGTGCTAAAGCCTGGCCCAACATTTGCAAGGTCTTTACTTTTGCAAGGTCTTTACTTTTGCAAGGTCTTTACTTTTGCAAGCTCTTTACCTTTGCAAGTTCTTTACTTTTGCAAGTTCTTTAATTTTGCAAGGTCTTTACTTTTGCAAGTTCTTTACCTTTGCAAGCTCTTTACCTTTGCAAGTTCTTTACTTTTGCAAGGTCTTTACTTTTGCAAAGTCTTAGCTTTTCAAGGTTCTTACATTTGCAAGATCTTTACCTTTGCAAGGTCTTTACCTTTGCAAGCTCTTTACTTTTGCAAGTTCTTTACTTTTGCAAGTTCTTTACTTTTGCAAGTTCTTTAATTTTGCAAGGTCTTTACTTTTGCAAACTCTTTACCTTTGCAAGCTCTTTACTTTTGCAAGTTCTTTACTTTTGCAAGGTCTTTACTTTTGCAAGTTCTTTAATTTTGCAAGGTCTTTACTTTTGCAAACTCTTTACCTTTGCAAGCTCTTTACCTTTGCAAGTTCTTTACTTTTGCAAACTCTTTACCTTTGCAAGCTCTTTACTTTTGCAAGGTCTTTACTTTTGCAAAGTCTTAGCTTTTCAAGGTTCTTACATTTGCAAGATCTTTACCTTTGCAAGGTCTTTACCTTTGCAAGTTCTTTACTTTTGGAAGGTCATAGCTTTTCAAGATATTTACTTTTGCAAGGTCTTTCTTAGCTTTGCTAGCCTCTTTGACAGAGAAAGGCTGAAGACCTTGTAAAACTACAACTCCCAGAGTTCCACAGCATTGAGCCATTGGCTGTTTGAGTTAAATGCCAAACTGCATTCATTCTGCAATGTAGATGCCGTCCTAAGACACAATAATTCTCATAATAACAATAAGAAAAAGGCAGAAAACAGAGACAAAATATATTATTCTGCTGTTATAGATCCCACTAAGTAATCCAAGTAACTCTGCTCACTGATTGGTGTACGTCAATTAGATGGGCCTAATTAATTCTGCAATATAGAAGCACCCCAGAGTTCGAATCCTCACACGACTGGTGAAGGAATTGCCTTCCCAAATTCTTCTAATACTTGATAGTTTTCAGAATTGAAGTTTTGTCTCTTTTGTAGTAAGTCTGTACTTTTTTGTGCATTCTCTTATTTCAATTTTTGGTCAAGTCACACTCTCTCAGTCCCTGAAAACTCTATCCATTTCTTTCATATACATGTGTGTGTGTATGTGTGTACGTGTGTATGTATAGATATTCCTTTCCTCTTTCCACCCAGCTTTTGATGGAGAATTCAGAGCGGTACCTGAGTTGTGCCAGCGGTCGCAGTTTCCGCTCCGTCCGTGAACGGTGGTGGTACGTGGCCCTCAGCAAGTGTGGGGTGAGTCTATTTCTCCCCAATAATAATAATAATAATAATAATAATACTTTCCCTTGTTAATAAATAAGATCCTCCTTGAGGTTCCAATGCTTTCCCTCTTTTCCTCCGCAGGGCGATGGTTTGGAGCTGGATTACGAGATGATCCTGACCAACGGGAAATCCTTCTGGACCCGGCACTTCTCCGCCGATGAGTTCGGTAACTCCCTTTCCGAATTGTTGTTTTATAGGATTCAAGGACTTCAAAGGAGCCCAAGGAATCAATGCTAGGGACTGTTATGAAGACAGGGCATTGTTGTTGTTGTTGTATTTATTTACTCCTTAGTTTTTCTTTCCACTAAAACAGAAACAGTAACACTATGTAACATTCAGATTTTTGTTCCTGTGGGTTATAAATGTATTATTCGTGAAAATGAATAAAATCTGGCTACCAGTATTAAAAAAACTCCAAAATTACAACAGCAAAACAGCAGAGAGGAAACAACGAGGCACATCTTAACACCTCTCAACAAAAGATTTTCCCAGGCTCAGCCAGGCCTTCAAATGCTAATGAAGGTGGTCAGTTGAAACATTCACACCTAGCTCCAGCAGAGAAGAGCCTTTGTCCCACCCCAGCCATTCCACAGATATATAAACCCATTTTTCCTACTTCCAACAGACCTCACGACCTCTGAGGATGCTTGCCATAGATGCAGGCGAAACGTCAGGAGAGAATGCCTCTAGAACATGGCCCTAGAGCCCGAAAAAACCCACAAGAACCTTATAAATGTATTTATTTCCTATAATTGGTCCTATCATAAAAACATGAAGAAAGTTTATTATTAAACTTTGTTTTTGCGGTAGGGACAGCATCCTCCAGCAGCACAGTTTGCGATTGTTTTTCTCAGCCCATTCCACGTACGAGGGTTGAATGAAAAGTAATGCCTCCACCTTCGTAGCTCCTCAACAGATGGTAGTACTGGTATGTGATAGGTACTGACTTGTTCAGTTGACTCTCCTCTACAGTTCCTTTTGGTGGGAAGCCTTCGCATTGAACGGTTGTGTTGTTAAAATGCGAAGTATGGAACCCTGCGCAGACTTAAACAAATTCTTGACAGCAGAAGGTGTCACCCCAAAGGAGATTCATCAGAGAATGCAAGCTCTTTATGGTGATTGTGTTGATGTGAGTGCTGTGCATCGTTGGTCGACTAAGTTTAAAGATGTTGAGGTGGGAACATCTGCCTTGCGTAAAAAACAAAGAGTTGGACGTCCTGTGACAGCAACCACCGAGTTTCCCAATCAAAAGGTTGACAGATTGATTCAGGACGATTGCTGTATCACTCAGAGAGAAATTTCAAGCATAATCGGCATTTCACAAGAACGTGTGGGTTACATTATGGCTTTGCTTGGCTATTGGAAGATCTGTGCACAATGGGTTGCGGAAACAGAGTGTCGACTTCTTCCGTGACTTGTTCATTGTTGGCAGAAATGTATCCAATTGTCTGGTGATTATGTGAAAAAGTGAATAGTGGTAGCGAAAGAGCACATTCTAAGGATTATTTCTGCGTTTGATTTATTAAAATAGTCCCATCCAAACCCAAGTAACGAAGGTGGAGGCATTACTTTTCATTCAACCCTCGTAGTTTGTGCCAGAAAAGCAATGAAGTTTCTGGAGGAGAACAACTACTTTCAAAGTAAGGACCACACCCCAAGGGTCATCTAGTCCTACCCCCTTCTTTTGCCGGGAAAGTACCATCTGATCCCTCCCGACAAATGGCCATCCATTAGACTCCGAGGTATTATATTCCACAGTCGAAACAACTCCTGCTATCAAGACGTTCTTCTTAATGTTTAGGTGGAATCTCCTTTCTTGCAATTTTAGGGATCCTGGAGACGGACATAACCTTCCTGCTCATCTTCATCCTGATCCTCATCATTTCCTGCTACTTTGGATGTGAGTCCAACCATCGCCCCGATCCTTGAATGCAAACCAGAAGCATATCAAGAGTTGGGGCCACGTCATATATTCTCAAGGAGAGTTGGCATATATGTATAGTTTGGGAGGGCACCCCAGAGGCCATCTAGTCCAACCCTTAGCAATGCAAGATTTTTAAATATCTTTTCTCGCTGCAAAGAGAAAGGGAAAGGCACCCCAAAGGGCATCTAGTCCAACCCTTTGCAATGCAAGATTGTTTAAATAGCTTCTCTCGCTGCAAAAAAAGGGAAAGGCACCCCAAAGGCCATCTAGCCCAACCTGTTGCAATGCAACATGCTTCTCTTGCTGCAAAGGGAAAAGGAAAGGCACCCCAAAGGGCATCTAGTCCTACCCATTACAATGCAAGGTTTTTTAAATAGCTTCTCTCACTGCAAAGAGAAAGGGAAAGGCACCCCAAAGGCCATCTAGTCCAACCCTTTGCAATGCAAGAGTTTTTAAATAGCTTCTCTCGCTGCAAAGAGAAAGGGAAAGGCACCCCAAAGGCCATCTAGCCCAACCCCTTGCAATGCAATTTGTTTTTAAATGGCTTCTCCTTCTGCAAAGAGAAAAGGGAAGGCACCCCAAAGGGCATCTAGTCCAACCCTTTGCAATGCAACATTTTTAAATAGCTTCTCTCGCTGCAAAGAGAAAGGGAAAGGCACCCCAAAGGGCATCTAGTCCAACCCTTTGCAATGCAAGATTGTTTAAATAGCTTCTCTCGCTGCAAAGAGAAAGGGAAAGGCACCCCAAAGGCCATCTAGCCCAACCTGTTGCAATGCAACATGCTTCTCTTGCTGCAAAGGGAAAAGGAAAGGCACCCCAAAGGCCATCTAGTCCAACCTCTTGCAATGCAATTTGTTTTTAAATGGCTTCTCCTTCTGCAAAGAGAAAAGGGAAGGCACCCCAGAGGCCATCTAGCCCAACCCTTTGCAATGCAAGGTTTTTAAAATAGCTTCTCTTGCTGCAAAGGAAAAGGAAAGGCACCCCAGAGGCCATCTAGTCCAACACTTTGCCATGCAAGATTGTTTAAATAGCTTCTCTCGCTGCAGAGTGAAAGGGAAAGGCACCCCAAAGGCCATCTGGCCAACCCCTTGAAATGCAAGAGTTTTTAATGGCTTCTCCTTCTGCAAAGGGAAAAGGAAAGGAGCCCCAAAGGCCATCTAGTCCAACCCTTTGCAATGCAAGATTTTGTAATAGTTTCTCTCTTTGCAAAGGGAAATGGAAAGGGGAGGAACCCCAGAGGCTATGTAGTCCAACCCTTTGCAATGCAAGGCTTTTCAAGGGCTTCCACCCGTCTTTGTATTATTCCCAGATTTGTTGAAAGGGAGGCAACTGCTGCATACGACATACAAGATGTTCATGATGGCGGCTGGAGTGGAAGGTGAGAGAAGGACCTTCTTCTTTGTATCCCGCTTTATCTCTTGACACCTCTTTGCGGGATTTTGGGGAACATTGTTGTTGTTGCTGCTTTGAAGTCTTGGTCCAAAGTCTCAGACTGGGACCTGCCCTCCTGGACCCTATATTCTTCTCTCAACAATACATCCATCTCATCCTCGGTCTCTGCTTGCAGTTCTCAGCCTGATGTTCTTCTGCATCTACTGGGGCCAGTATGCCAGCGATGGGGTCGGGAACGGAAGCCTCAAAATCCTGGGTAAGGAGCAAGGAGGAAAACGGGGCTGCCTTGCGGGATGGGTGCTGCCTACCCACCAGGCAGGCTGGCGTCCTGCATTGGCAGCCCTTGGCATGCTTCTTAATGCTTTCTGTTTCTCCATCTCTCTCCTTCTCCTCCCTCCCTCCTCTTATTTGTTCTCTCCTTCCTTCTCTCCTTCCTTCCTTCCTTCCTTCTCCCTTCTTCTCTCTTCCTTTCTTCTTTCCTTCCTTCTTTTCTCTCTTCCCATCTTTTCTTTCCTTCCTTTCCTTCTCTCTTTCCTTCTTTCTCTCTCCTTTCCTTCTCTCCTTCCTTCTTTTCTCTTCCTTCTCTTTCTCCTTCTCTTCTCTTCCTTTCTCTTCCTTTCTTCCTCTTTTCTCTCTCCTCTTTCTTTCCTTCTCTTTCCTTTTTTTCTTCTCTCCTCCCTTTTTTCTTTCCTCCTCCTCTTCTTCCTCCTTTTCTTCCTCCTTCCTTTCTCCTTCCTCTTTTCTCCCTTCTCCTCCTCCTTTCCTCTTTTCTCTTCTTCTCTCTTCCTTCCTTCTTCTTCTCTCTCCTTCCTTCCTTCCATCCATCCATCCATCCATCCACTCTTCCTTCCCCCTTCCTTCTCATCCTTCTTCTCTTTCCTTTCCTTCCTTCCCTCCTCCTCCTCTTTTCTCTTCTCTCTCCTTCCTCTTTCTTCCTTCCTCCTTCCTTCCTCCCCTTTTTCTTCCTCTCCTTCCTTTCCTTCCTTCCTTCCTTCCTTCCTCTTTTCTCTTCCTCTTTCTCCCTTCCTTCTTTCTCCTCTTCTTCCTTCCTTTTTTCTCCTTCCTTCTCTCTTCCCCTTCCTTTTCTTCTCTCCTTCCTTCCTTCCTTCCTTCCTTCCTTCCTTCCTTCCTTCCTTCCTTCCTTCCTTCCCCCCTTCCTTCTTCTTCATCCTATTCCTTCTTCCTTCCTCTTCTCTTTCCTCCTCACCTTCCTCCTTCTCTTCTTCTTTTTCTCCCTTCTTTCCTTCCTTCCTTTTTCCTTCCTTCCATTCTCCCATCCTTTTTCATCCCTTTCTTCTCTCCTCCTTCCTTCCTTCTCTTATTCCTTTCCCTTCCCACCCGATAATCCCTTTCCCTTCCTTCCTTCCTTCTCTCCTTCCTTCCTTCTTTCCTTCCTTCCCTCCTTCCTTCTCTCCTTCCTTCCTTCTCTCCTTCTTTCTTCCGCAGCCAAGCTCCTCTTCTCGGTCAGTTTCCTGATCTTCCTCCTGATGCTCATCCTGCTGGGAAAAGGATTCACGGTCACCAGGTACCGAACTCAAGAGCCGCTTGGAAACAGAACGCGGAGGGTCAGTTCTTGGTCCAGATGGGGCCTGAGAGGAGAGGTTCCAGGGCGTGATGCTCACGGGGATGGAGACAGAACCCCTCTACCTTCCATGAATGTGGGGTTGGAGACCCTTTGGGAAGCCCGTCCCGCTTCAGTGGGTCTTCCCTGTTTTGCAGGGGCCGCATCAGCCACACCGGCTCGGTCAAGCTGTCCGTCTACATGACCCTCTACACCATCACCCACGTTGTGCTCTTCATCTACGAGGCCGAGGTGAGCAAGGCCTTCCTGACCCCTGCGGAGGTTGCACCCTGTTTGTTGATGTTGGAGGAGGTGGACAAAAGGGAAAGTGTCCAGAGAAGGGTCACCCAAAGGGTCAAAGGTCTGGAAACTATGAATCCCAATGAGAAGTGGCTTCGGGAGCTGGGGAAGGTTGTCTTGGAGAAAAGAAGGCTGAGAGGCTTTAAGCAGGGTGGGCATCTGCAAGGAGGGATTGGGTGGGGGTCTTCCTCCCTGTCAGAATGGGTTTGGACTAGATGGCCTTTGGGGGTCCCTTCCAAATCTATAATTCGAGGCTGGAGGGGCATTTGCTGGGAGGGATTGGGTGGTGTCTTCCTCCCTGACAGAATAGGTTTGGACTAGATGGCCTTTGGGGGTCCCATCCAAATCTGTAATTCAGAGGCTGGATGGGCGTCTGTCAGGAGGGATCAGGTGGTGTTTTCCTCCGTGTCAAAATGGGTTTGGACTAGATGGCCTTTGGGATCCCTTCCAAATTTATAATTCAGAGGCTGAATGGGCATCTGTCAGGAGGGATCTTCCTCCCTGCCAGAATGGGTTTGGACTAGATGGCCTTTGGGGTCTTCCAAACCTATAATTCAGAGACTGGATGGGCGTCTGTCAGGAGGGATCAGGTGGTGTCTTTCTGTGAGAATGGGTTTGGACTAGATGGCTTTTGGGGTTCCTTTCTAAATCTATAATTCAGAGGCTGGATGGGCGTCTGTCGGGAGGGATCGGCTGGTGTCTTCCTCCCTGTCAGAATGGGTTTGGACTAGATGGCCTTTGGGAGTCCCTTCCAAATCTATAATTCAGAGGCTGGATGGGCATCTGTCAGGAGGGATCGGGTGGTGTCTTCCTTCCTGGCTGAAGGAGGGGGTTGGACTGGATGGCCTCTGGGTGCCCCTTTGGACTCTCTTCCATGATTCCGCATGTGAGCGTGGTCCTCAAGGGACTCCTCCTCCTCCTCCTGCAGTTCTTTGACCAGGCGCAGGTGCTCTACACCTACGAGTCCCCCGCCGGGTACGGCCTGATCGCCCTCCAGTTTGTGGCCTACATCTGGTTCTGCTACGCCATCCTCATCACCCTCAAGCAGTTCCCCGAGAAGCAGCCCTTCTACGTCCCCTTCTTCGCCGCCTACACTTTGTGGTGAGTCCTTCTCCTCGGCAGGTTTTGCAACCGGATGGCCATCTGTCAGTAGGGATCAGATTGTATCCTTCTCAGGAAAGTTTGCAACTGGGTGGCCATCTATCAGGAAGGATCAGATTGTATCCTTCTCAGGAAAGTTTGCAACTGGATGGCCATCTGTCGGAAGGGATTAGATTGTATCCTTCTCATGAAAGTTTGCAACTGGATGGTCATCTGTCGGGAGGGATCAGATTGTGTCCCTTTTGGGAAAGTTTTCAACTGGATGGCCATCTGTCAGGAGGAATCAGATTGTATCCTTCTCATGAAAGTTTGCAACTGGATGGTCATCTGTCGGGAGGGATCAGATTGTGTCCCTTTTGGGAAAGTTTTCAACTGGATGGCCATCTGTCGGGAGGGATCAGATTGTGTCCCTTTTGGGAAAGTTTTCAACTGGATGGCCATCTGTCAGGAGGAATCAGATTGTATCCTTCTCATGAAAGTTTGCAACTGGATGGTCATCTGTCGGGAGGGATCAGATTGTGTCCCTTTTGGGAAAGTTTTCAACTGGATCGCCATCTGTCAGGAGGAATCAGATTGTATCCTTCTCAGGAAAGTTTGCAACTGGATGGTCATCTGTCGGGAGGGATCAGATTGTGTCCCTTTTGGGAAAGTTTTCAACTGGATGGCCATCTGTCGGGAGGGATCAGATTGTGTCCCTTTTGGGAAAGTTTTCAACTGGATGGCCATCTGTCAGGAGGAATCAGATTGTATCCTTCTCATGAAAGTTTGCAACTGGATGGTCATCTGTCGGGAGGGATCAGATTGTGTCCCTTTTGGGAAAGTTTTCAACTGGATGGCCATCTGTCAGGAGGAATCAGATTGTATCCTTCTCATGAAAGTTTGCAACTGGATGGTCATCTGTCGGGAGGGATCAGATTGTGTCCCTTTTGGGAAAGTTTTCAACTGGATGGCCATCTGTCAGGAGGAATCAGATTGTATCCTTCTCAGGAAAGTTTGCAACTGGATGGTCATCTGTCGGGAGGGATCAGATTGTGTCCCTTTTGGGAAAGTTTTCAACTGGATGGCCATCTGTCGGGAGGGATCAGATTGTGTCCCTTTTGGGAAAGTTTTCAACTGGATGGCCATCTGTCAGGAGGAATCAGATTGTATCCTTCTCATGAAAGTTTGCAACTGGATGGTCATCTGTCGGGAGGGATCAGATTGTGTCCCTTTTGGGAAAGTTTTCAACTGGGTGGCCATCTGTCAGGAGGAATCAGATTGTATCTTCCTGGATGCCCTTAGGGGGACCCTTCTATAATAAGGGAGACCCATTAAGTAAAATCTACAGTTTGGATGGCCCTCTGTTGGGAGGGATTTGATTGTGTCTTTCTGGTAGAATGGGGCTGGACTAGATGGCCTTTGGGGGTCCCTTCCAACACTAGTGGAATATAGATTGCCTGGGAGTCCCGTGAAGTTTCTCTCTTTAGAGGTCTTGCTATTCTATGATATATCTACACACACACATACACACACATATCACTGCCTACACTTTGTGATAAGTCCTTCCAGGTTTTGCAACTGGATGGCCATCTGTTGGGAGGGATCGGATTGGACTGGACGACCTTTGGAGGTCCCTCCCAACAATAGGATTTTATGATATATGTATCATCTCTCTCTCTCTCAATTATATCTATCTATCTATCTATCTATCTATCTATCTATCTATCTATGGCCATCTGCCAGGAGGGATTGCATAGTATCTTTCTACCTGGCAGAATTGGGGTTGGACTGGATGGCCTTTGGAGGTCCCTCCCAACAATAGGGTTCCATTTTGTATGTATCCTCTCTCTGCCACTCAATTATATCTATATTTCTGTGGTTGCATGGCCGTCTACTAGGAGGGATCGGATAGTATTTTCCTGTATAGCAGAAGCGGGTTGGACAGGATGGCCTTTGTGGTTCTCTTCCACATTTAGGATTCTATGAAAGTCATTAGGCAGAGACTGGATGACCATCTGCCAGAAGGGATCGGATGGGGGTGATCTGGATGGCCTTTGTGGGTCCCTTTCAATTACAGGATTCTGTCTCCCTTTATGGCAAAATGAGGTTGGGCTGGATGGCCTTTGGGGATCCCTTCTTGCTCTACTAGAATATAGACTGCTTCAAACACTGGCTGGATGGCCATCAGTTGGGAGGGATCGGGTGTTGCCTTCCCTGATGGCAGAAGAAGGGGTTCAGGCTGGATGGCCCTCCTGGTTCCCTGATGCGCCAGACCTCCTTTTCCTTCTCTCTCTTTTCCACGCAGGTTCTTTGCCGTCCCGGTCACGGCGCTCATTGCCAACTTTGGGATCCCCAAATGGGCCCGGGAGAAGATCGTCAACGGGATCCAGCTGGGGATCCACTTCTATGCGCACGCCGTCTTCCTGGTGAGAGAAGACCCTCGGACTCTATTCCGAGGGGAAAGAAAATAGAAAATCCCTTTTCGATGGGGTCCTCCTGCCTGGCCGAAGGGGGGGGGGGTGGACTGGATGGCCTTCGGGTGACCCTTCCCGCTCTAGGATTCTATGATATATCTATCATAGATATTATATCTATGGCTGGGTGGCCATCGGTCTGGCAGAAGGGGGTGGACTGGATGACCTTTGGGGAACCCTTCCAACTAGGATTCCATGATATCTCTCTATCTATTTGTCTATGACTTATCTAT